TCCTCATTTGACCCACCTCGGAAGGATGGAAGGCTGAGTCAACCTTGAGCCGGTGAGATTTGATCCGCTGATCTGCTGAACTAGCAGTCAGCTGAAGTAACTGCAGTACTGCACTCTAACCACTGCACCACCTCGGCTCTTAAATATTAATATTATTAATATTATTAAATATTCCAACCTCTTGTGCAGAACTTCTGTCATGCACTGGGGCCAAGACAGCTCCCCCAAAGGTCCTCCCTCCCCCAACCCCGTTCCTCTGACCATGGGCAGAGTCCTCTCTCTCTTCCTATCGGATGGTACCAATGAGTCCCTCAGGCTCACTGCTCCTTTTCTCCTTCCATACGACCCTTTGGGATTACATCCGGTTTCTGACGCCAGCCCCTCCTCATTTGGTCATTCACCCCACAAGCCCCCCCCCCAAAAACCCTTTTAAAAATAAATAAAAGAATAAATAAATCCCTACTCTGCTCAGCTGATTCATGCTGCCGAACCAAGCTCAGAGTAGCCTCCCAACTGCAGCATGGTAAAAATAAACTAATTTTTTCCCTCTTTCTAATGCTCGGGATTTGTATTAATAGCGGAGCTGCCAACACATGGCCGGTTCCTTTGGGTGCACCGGGGGTGGCATGCAGGAACGCCAGAGATCTGGAGATCTGTTTCTCTGCTCCATCTGTGATGCATCTCAGCCGCCCATCACCCGGGGATACCTATGTGCCCAGCTGGGAGGTTGCCACGGCAACGGTGCGCACAGAAGGAGGGGGGGCGCCAAAGATGGAGGAGGAGGAGGAGGAGGAGAAGTGGACATGCAGGAAAGGAGAGGGCGAACAAAGGGTGGAGGAATGGAGCCTTTCCCGGGGGGGGGTGGGGGTGGGGTGGGGTGGTGGCATGCTTCTGTCCAGCCAGGTCGAGTTTAAAAAAGGACTTAAATGCTTTGTGTGGTGCTAGTTGCGCATGGCACATGGGGCGCAGGCTAGTCTCGGTGCGCTGCCGGCCAAGGGTCCGTCTGTCGAATGAGACCCTTTGACAGCTCTTTTGGGAAAAGAAGGGCAAGAGAGGTAACAGAATAACAAAGTTGGAAGGGACCTTGGAGGTCTTCTAGTCCAGCCCCCTGCTGAAGCAGGAGACCCTGGTTCAGTGGTCTCCAAATCTCGCCACTTTAAGAGTTGTGCACTTCAACTCCCAGAATTCCCCAGCCGGCGTTGCTGATTGACCTCAGATGGGTCAGACAGCCATGTGGCCTGGGGGGGAGGCGTGAGATGCCCAGGTCTCTTCCATGGGGAGGAATTTCCTGCTAGAAAAGGCTGACCATTCTCCCCACATACAGGTAATCCTTGAGTTACGACTGCAATAAAGCCCGACATTTCCATCGCTGAGTGAGACGGTTGTTAAGCGAGTTCTGCCCCATTTCACTACCTGTTTGGCGATTCACGGTTGTTAAGTGAATCGCCGAAGTTGTTAGTAACCCGGTTGTTAAGCAAATCTGGCTTCCCCATTGACTTTGCTGCTGGTCAGAAGGTCGCAGAAAGGGATAATGGCCACTGTCGTAAATATGAGTCAGTTGCCAAATGTTTTTGCTCACGTGATCAGGGGGATCCTGCAACAGTCGTGAGTGTGGGGGGAAAAACAGCTGTAAGTCCCTTTTTCCAGTGTCGTTGTAACTTCAAATGGTCACTAAATGAATTGTAAGTCGAGCACTATCTGTAATCATGTTCCCAAGCCTATCCAAACGGGCTCTTTCTGAGCCCCATAAAAGCATCCGATCCGGACTCACGCGCAGGACAGCGATGGGGTGCAGGAAGCGCTACTTGGGGGCTCCGTCGCTGATTCAACCTCTCTGGCCGTCTCCGCTCACCAACCGTGTCTCATTGTAGCGCCCGCAAATAGTCCAAGACAGCTCCCAACGGCAAGTTTGAGCAATCCTGACCACAAGCATGGTTTGCAAGACACACAATCCAAATTTGTTGACTTCCCGGCACAAACAAGCCACAAAGTTTGAAAGAAGAAATTCAATGTAGAGAAAAGGAAAGTCTTACACTTAGGCAAGAAAAACCCAAAGTGCACATACAGACTGGGTGAAACCAGGCTTAACAGCAGTGACTGTGAGAGGGATCTTGGAGTCTTAGTGGACAACCAGTTAAATGTGAGCCAACCGTGTGTGGTGGCAGCCAAAAAAGCCAATGCGATCCTAAACTGCATTAACCTCTGGATACAATCAAGATCAAGGGAGGTTCTAATACCACTCTATAAATCCTTGGTAAGGCCACACCTAGAATTCTGCATCCAGTTTTGGTCACCACACTATAAAAAAGATTTCGAGATTCTGGAAAGAGTGCAGAGGAGAGCAACCAGGATGATGAGGGGACTGGAGGCTCAAACATACGATGAACGGTTGCAGGAACTGAGTTGTGTCTAATCTAGTGAAGAGAAGGGGAGACAGGAGAGCATCTTCCGGTATTTGAGGGGCTGCCACAGAGAGGAGGAAGGGGGTCAAGCTATTTTCCAAAACAGCTGAAGGCCAGAGAAGGAAGAATGGATGGAAACTGACCAAGGAGAGATTCAACCTGGAAATAAGGAGGAATTTTCTGACAGTGAGAAGAATCAACCGATGGCACAGAAGTTGCCTTCGGAAGTTTTGGGAGCTTCATCACTGGAAGCTTTGAAGAAAAGATTGGACTGCCATTTGTCAAAAAGGTGTAGGGTCTCCTGCTTGGGTGGGGGGTTGGACTAGATGACCTACAAGGTCCCTTCCAACTCCAATCTTTTAAGTACTCAGCATGGCTAGTCCAGTGAAGAGAAGGCCCAGGGGAGACAGGAGAGCTTCTTCCAATATTTGAGGGGCTGCCCCAGAGAGGAGGAAGGGGGTCAAGGTGTTTTCCAAAACACCCGAAGGCCAGACAAGGAAGAATGGATGGAAACTGATCAAGGAGAGATTCAACCTGGAAATAAGGAGCAATTTTCTGACGGTGAGAACAATCAACCGATGGAACAGAAGTTGCCTTCAGAAGTTGTGGGAGCTTCATCCCTGGAGGCTTTCAAGAAGAGACTGGACTGCCCTCTGTCAGAAATGGTGTAAGGGTCTCCTGCTTGGGCAGGGGGTTGGACTAGATGACCTCCAAGGTCCCTCCCAACTCTGTTCATCTGTTAAAAAGAGGGCATTTTAATATGGAACATTTGGTTCGCTGTATTTTGGATTTCCTTCCGTAGCAGAACTGAACTCCTGGTTCTTTTGCCCACACAAACCATCTTCCTATCGCTTCCTGCCCTCCCACCACCACCACCGGTGCCCTCAATTTCAGCAGCCTGATCGGGGGGGGGGGTGTCACTCTTGTTAAATTCATGAGGACGGCCCCCCCCCCCCCACACACACACACATTTCCCTTGCCGGCAGGACTCGCACTGCCTGCTTCTCCCTGCATCACTCGGGCACTTTGGTACTAAAATAGCAGGATGTAAAAATAACCTAGCTAACGGAAAAGCAGACATCCAATTCCGGCTGCGAATTGCCGTGATTATATCTCAGTACAGGTAGTCCTCGACTTACGACCATTTGTTCAGCGTCCGTTTGAAGTTATAACGGCACTGAAAAAAAACCTGACGTATGGTCAGTCCTCGCACCTATGACCAGTTGCAGCATCCAGGCTCCCGCGACCTTCCTGGCCAGTTTCCGAGAAACAAAGTCAGTTGGGGAAGTCAGATTCGCTTAGTGACTGTACAATTCACTTAACCACCACGCCCTGAGTCTCCAGAGAAAGACAGCATATAAATTGGACTAAATAAATAAATAAAATAAAGGTGGTAAAAATTAGGCGTGGCTCACTTAACAACGGCTTTGCTTGAAGCTGTGTGTTTCACTCAGTGACCATAGTGGTTCGCTTAATGACTACAGCAAAATAATAATAATAATCAGCCACAATTAAGTAAACGGCTGCCTTGCTTAGCAACGGAAGTTTCTATCCTGATTGTAGTCGTAAATCAAGGACTACCTGTATAGGGGGGGTCCCTTCCTCTTTGGGGAGAGCCACTTCTAATCCTTCGCTTTGCTTTCCATGATCAGAAGGACCAATCGATCCAAAGGGCACGGATTCCTGAGCTTGGCAACTTGATGGACTTCAATTCCCAGAATTCCTCAACCAACTAAGCGCAAAAATTTAAGGAATGCAGAGTCTCCAAAACTGGCGATTTTAAGACTTGGGAACTTCAACTCCCAGAATTCTCCCAGTTCTCAGATTTAAGCCAAGCTGGCTGAGGAATTCTGGGAATTGAAGTCTTCACACTTAAGCCATGATGACTGGGGAATTCTGGGAGTTGTAGTCCTCAGATTTAAGCCAAGCTCGCTAGGGAATTCTGGGAGTTGTAGTCCACATATCTTCAAGCATGCTGGCTGAGGAATTCTGGGAATTGAAGTCTTCAGCTGCTGGCTGGTGAATACTGGGAGTTGGAATCTTCACACTTAAGCCATGCTGGCTGGGGAATTGTGGGAGTTGTAGTCTCAGATTTAAGCCAAGCTCTCTGGGGGATTCTGGGAGTTGTAGTCCACACATCTTCAAGCATGCTGGCTGGGGAATTGTGGGAGTTGTAGTCCTCAGATTTAAGCCAAGCTCTCTGGGGGATTCTGGGAGTTGTAGTCCACACATCTTCAAGCATGCTGGCTGGGGAGGGAGGAAAGCTGGCCCAAAGGGAAAGAAGCCCCCTCCCCGCCCCCCCAATCTCAGCTGGCCAAGGCTACTCCCAGACCCAGCATTCCCTCCCTAACCCTGGGCAGCCAAGCCTGAGAAGCCGCCTCTTTCCTCTTGGGGCCCCGGGCCCCTCCTTTCGCCCTGGACCCCCAAGCAGGGCCGGCGGGGCCGAGGGAGCCCGACCCCCTTTTCAGGCCGGGGGGCTCCGGGAGACAGCCACGTGCCTGATGCGCAAAAGGAGGCGGCGCTGCGGCCGCCCAGCCCGGCTCAGTCCGCCTCCCGGAGCCGAGGAGCAGGCAGCCCGGCGAGCGGCGGCGCCCCTCCCCGCCCCGAGGCCGAGGCAGGTAAGGGGTCCCGCAGGTGGGAGGGGGCGGCCGGGCGGGCGGGGCGGGGGAGGCTAGGCGAGCCGGGGCTGGGGCTGGGGCTGGGGGCTGGGGGTGGATCGTGCCCACAAAAGGGGTCGGGGGTCTGCTCGGACGCCCCCCCCCACCCCTCCCTCTCTCCGCGCTTCAAGTTGCGCGCTTGGAGGCCAGGCGGCATCCCTCCAGGTGAGCAGCTCCTGCAAGGATGCTCTGCTTCGGGGCCAGCGAGGCTCTTGCAAGGCGCGCAGCCGCCGGGATGCTCGACTGCGCTTCTTCGCGCCCCCCCCCCCCCACCCCGTTTCGCTTGCAGGCCCTTAGATGCGGGGAGAGGGGGGGAGAGGAGGATGGGAAGCCCCCTCCCCTGCAGCCCCCCCTTCCCCCCCCCTCTTCTCCCTTCGCTTCGCCCTCCCAGAGACGACCCTCCCTCCCCATCTGGCTTCTTCCCTCTGGATCTTTCTACAGCAATAGGACCCCTCCCCATCTGCTCTTTCTCTCCCCCCCTCCCGCAATTTTCTTTCCCTCCTTCCCAATTCCTTGTGTGTCCAATCACACTTGGCCCATAAAGAATTCTATTCTATTCTCCTCTTCTCTTCCCTTCCTTTCCTTTCCCTTCCCTTTCATTTCCTATTCCATTCCATTCCATTCCCTCTCTCTATTCTATTCTGTTCTATTCTGTTCTGTTCTGTTCTGTTCTATTCTATATGATATATGATATATGATATATGATATATGATATATGATACATTCTATTCTATTCTATTCTATATGATATATGATATATGGTATGATATGATACATGATACATGATATATGAAAGATGAGATGAAAGATGAAAGATGAAAGATTATACATGATACATGATATATGATATATGATATATGATACATTCTATTCTATTCTATATGAAATATATGATATGATATGATACATGATACATGATACATGATATAATATATGATATATGATATATATGATACATTCCATTCTATTCTATTTTATTCTATATGATATATGATATGATACATGATATATGATATATATGATACATTCCATTCCATTCCATTCTTATTCTATTCTTCCTCCAGTGCGTCTCTGGCTTTGGCTGCTTGGCTTGCCTTGAGCGCCGCATCACTTACACCCAGCTTCTAATTTTAATTGGCCAATCCGGGTTTTTTTGGGGAGGTGGAGAGAGGTTTCTATTTCTGTTCCTCTAAAAAAAAAATTCTCTTAAAAGAAATAAATAAATAATTATCTCCAGCCAGGCCTCATTCGGCTTTGCAGCACCTGGTGGACTTTTTTGGGTGGGGCCTGGGAGGAGAGAAACAGGAGTTGGTTGATTTCGGAAAAGGGGGCAGATGCGCCCGGCTTTCCCTTGGAAGAAAGCAACCAGAAATTCATCAAATTGTTCACTTTTGTGCAGTTATGTAACTCAAGCAGAGTCGACACTCCCCAGTCGACACACATATTTGTGTGTGTACACACACCAAGAGAAAGAGAGAAAGAACTAATTTTAATTGCTCTATTTTTAAATGCATATTCCCCCCCATCACACAAAGCCTAACATTCCATCAATAAATAAAATGCCACCACTAAGGATCGATTTGATGGGGCTCTGATCCTTGAGGAATCCATGGCAGAAATTCCAGTGGATCTCTTTAGAGCTCCCTTGCAGCCAGATTCTGCTTCTTCCTTCTCAGAATAAGAAAGGTGCAATTTTATTATTATTATTATTTGCAAAACTGACACTCTGCCTTTCAACAGCCAAATCTGCTCCTTTCCAACCTTCGCATTAAATGACCTATTAATGAAGCCTCTTTGGGATTAAGAATTGTGCTTCCATTAAAAATGGGAGTTAGGCCAGGTGCTCCTTTTGATGCTCTCCAAATAAATTTGCTTTTAAATATGTCTGTGTCAACAGCAGCTGCAGCAGCAACCATGGTGATGAGGAATAAAAAGATAAATTAAATTTGCTGCAAATTTTCGAGCCACGCTGGCTCAGAATAAAATTGCTGGAGATTCCTAAAACATGAAACGGGGGAGTTTATTTCACTCCTAGTGTGAGATGCACATTTCCCTGATCTTTGGATTTCAAGCTTGGACAGTTTTTATTTGAGTGCCTCCCTAGGGAGACTCAGGAAAATAATGAGTAGGGGGAGTCGGACTAGGAAATTGCTGGTATGAGCGATGGGTAATTCCTCAGCCTTCGCTTGTTTCTCAGGCAATAAAATTAAATTAAATTAAAAAATAAAATAAATAGACTAGACTAGACTAGACTAGACTAGACTAGAACAGAAAAATAAAATAAAAAAATAATAAAACAATAATAAAAAAAAAAAAATAAAATAAAAAAAAAAATAAAATAAAATAATAAAATAAAATAATAAAATAAAATAAAATAAATAAAATAAATAAAATAAATAAAATAAATAAAATAAATAAAATAAATAAAATAAATAAAATAAAATAAAATAAAATAAAATAAAATAAAAACATCTGCTTGCAAACAGCTCAGTACCAGATGGAGTGCTCTTGCTCTGAGTATCTCCCAAAATAGGTAATCTGATATTAAATGCCTGTGGCTTCTGGTGAAACAACTAAATTTTGCTCTCCCGGATAAAAATCCTCATTAAAAAAAAAAAAAAAAGAAATCGGGAGGTGGCTTGTTGGGAAAGAAAATATCTTGAATAAGGGGTCTGCCACCTCTGGACTGTGGACCGGTACTGGGCCATGACCGGTTCGGAACCGGTCCGCAGAAGCAGTGGACGAGCGAGCGACACTTTATCTGCGCATGCGTGGGAGCTATGTTGTGCATGAAATCATCCCGGCCCCCCTTGCTCCCCCGGTCCATGGAAAAAATATGTCTTCCACAAAACCAATCCTTGGTGCCAGAAAGGTTGGGGACCACTAATTCTGAGCATTCCTCTAAGGCAGTGATGGCGGATCTTTTCAGCACTGAGCACCCAAATCCGAACATGCCTATCCAACCAGGGGAATTCTGCGGGTTGAGATAGTCCTTGATTTACGGCCACTGTTGTGGTCCATCAGCAGCCTGCGGAGCTGGCAGCGGAGTCGGACAGTGAGGAGGCTGGGGAGAACCATGGGCCAGTCCTAGAGTCAGGGGAAGACCTGGACGAGGGCTCTGCATCAGAGGCCAGGGCCATCTGGGAGCGATGCGTGGACTCCGGAGCCTCCAGAGGCGGATAGCAGAGAGCAGAGGAACAGGAGCCTGTTCCTAGTGTACGCATGCGAAGAGCTGCCAGCAGCAAAGCCTCTTGGGCTCTTTGTAGGAAAGCAACATTGCTACATTTGTTTCTTGTCGGCGTCTCTTGTTTCTGAACTTCGTGGGGCTTTGCCAAGAAAAGACTTTGGCAGGGTGTCAAAGAAGATAAAGGTTTGTGATAAAGCCGAAGGACTCTTTCTGAAGGAATAATGTTTTGGATTTAATTTGGACTAAGCTGAGAATGATGTAATTCTCAGCTGTTAAAATATGTTTGTTTAGGATTGATTCTGTCCAGTAATAACTACTTGGGCCTAGGTCACAACAGCCACAACTGAGACTAGGATTTCTGTGGCTAGGCCAGGTTCAGTGAGTCACACCTGATTTTACGAACTGTTTTGCCACGGTTGTTCAGCAAATCCCTGCAGTTGTTAAGTGAATCACACCATTGTTAAGTGAATCGGGCTTCCCTTGCTGACTTAGCTTGTCAGAAGCCAGCTGGAAGGTCCCATGCTGATGGTGTGATCGTGGGATACTTCAACCCTTGTAAATACACACACCAGGTGCCAGGTTTTCACACCGCTTTATACTGCCTTGGTAAGGTCACACTTGGAATTCTGCACTCAAGCCATCCGGATTGAGTGATTGTTTAAAGAATTGAGACAAGAAAGCGAAACCACGCTATAAAGCCTTAGTAAGACCACACCTAAAATGTAGCATCCAGTTTTGGTCACCACACTATTAAAAAAAGATGTTGAGACTCTAGAAAGAGTGCAGAGAAGAGCAACCAGGATGATGAGGGGACTGGAGGCTCAAACATGTGATGAACGGTTGCAGGAATTGGGCCTGGCTGGTCCAGTGAAGAGAAGGGGAGACAGGAGAGCATCTTCCAATATTTGAGGGGCTGCCCCAGAGAGGAGGAAGGGGGTCAAGCTATTCTCCAAAGCCCCTGAAGGCCAAACAAGGAATCATGGATGGAAACTGATCAAGGAGAGATTCAACCTGGAAATAAGGAGGAATTTTCTGAAAGTGAGAACCATCAACCTGTGGAACAGAAGTGGCCTTTAGAAGTTGTGGGAGCTTCATCCCTGGAAGCTTTCAAGAAGAGACTGGACTGCCATCTGTCAGAAATGGTGCAGGGTGTCCTGCTTGAGTGGGGGGTTGGACTAGATGACCTACAAGGTCCCTTCCAACTCTGTTATTCTGTTAATTTGTGCTAAAATTGTATATGTATACATATGTAAGGTGCAGCTATATATTTTGGTCACTACACTTTAAAAAAGATGTTGAGACTCTATAAAAAGTGCAGAGAAGAGCAAGAAAGATGATTAGGGGACTGGAGGCTAAAACCTATGAAGAATATTTGCAGGAATTGGGTGCGTCTAGTCTAATGAAGATAAGATAACTTCTATTATCATTATTTTACTGCGAGCACACCGGCCCACATTAAAAATGAATTTCTGTTACCTGAACTCAAGAGAAAGTGTATATCTACCCAAACACATACATAACACACATGTACACATGCTATATACATGCATAAATTCCTCCTGCACCATACATACATCAGTATATACATATATATTAATATGTACTTCTTGTCTCAATTCTTTAAAAGATCACCGGATCCGGATGGCTCTTCAAAAAAAACCCAACACTTTTGAAAGCTGAAGCGGCCACAGCCAAACAAGATTCCACAATTTTGAAAAAAAAAAAAACCAACCAAAAAATCCAGAAGGACTAGGGGAGACATGATAGCATCTTC